TTTCCACTTTGGAAACACCGATGCACGTATTTTCTTCACCTCAGTCGCACTAGTTTCGATCTTGTCTTCCATTTTTCATCATAATCTAGATTACCCAATATTATCGTGAACTGTGCCTTTAAGGGCACGGTTCACGATAATTCTGAGGTAACCCTCTTCATTCGCAAAGCCGAAGTATAGGTTGGGACTAGTTCATTTATAGTGAAAATGGCGAAAAAATCAGTCAATTTCGAGAAAAATAAAGCTACTCGGAAGTAGGGAAAATAAAGGTTGGACGAGATTACCATGACGAAGGTAACATGGAAGATAGTAGGGCAAGATTTCAGTCGTTGCAGTTGTACAAAGAGCCGACTACATCAAGCCAAAAATGTACGAACTGCCTTTCACGTGAGTGGATCACGACAGGTTGTTTGAACTTCTTGTTTCTGAACTTCCTGGACTGTTTGTTACCACATGTTGCTCAACATGTAATAAATCAAATCGAATCAAATCCTGCATGGGTTCACTTGTGAACGATGCATCCTCCACTATGCCGGTGAAACTCGTCCATGCATACACATGGGCCAATCTTTAAGCCTTCGTAGCTTCTTAACTAGGCCATTTTCCGACCTGATAGCGCTAGATATGGTATACGAGGCCTCGAGTTCATGCTATGGGGGGAACCCAGAAACCATTTTTATCGTTAAGTTTGTCTTTAACCAAACAATGTGCATAAGTGGTCGGGGCAAAAAGTTGCGGGACAATTGTAGCGTAAACTACAGGGTGCGGCAAAAGTTCTGACAAAGACCCGTTTCAGGTTCTCTGTAAAAAATGAGGCCTTCCATCTCGACAGGATCTGTGCCACTATTTAGTGCAATCCTCTTCTATACGTTCCATAAACTGGCCGTTCGTGAATATGCCATTTTACAGAATAGTGACAAGCAAAGACCAACGACCCTCCATCCGGCACCTCCATCTGGCTGAATTACGACAGGAACTATGGAGGACAAGCCTAGAAATGGAAGACCGAAGAGTGCAACGACAAGGGAAATCGTGAAAATCTTTCGAGAGAAAACCCACTGCCACCCTCGTAGGTCCGGGAGATAAAAGGCTCTTGTAGTCGGAATTTCTGCTCGATCTGTCGGAAGGATTGTCACCAGCCACCTTCGACTTCGCTCTTATATGATCAGAAAAGCTCACATGCTAATTAAGTGTATGGAAAAAAACTAGGCTCAAAAGATTTAGGGAGCGTTTAAAGCGATTTTCGCAGGCACGGCACAGCGGCATCCTTTTCACTGACGAATGCCTGTTTTCAACAAATCAGTTCCTGAACACCCCAAAACGATAGGATGATAGCGGGAAGCCCTGCAGAAGCCAGCCAACATGGAAGGATTGCTCAGCGATCTGGACACCCCAACCCGTTGATGGTTCTTGGGGCAATCACATCGAACGGCAAGACGTCCCTGATTTTCTTGGAGAAAGGGGTCAAGGTGGATAGCAAGACCTACCTAAAAGGCATGTTGGAGAAGGAGTTACTCCCTCGGGCTGAATCCCATTTTGGCAACCGGACATGGACTTATCAACAGGGCTCAGCTCCAGCACACAGATACAATGTAGTACAGGGCTGGTGCGCAACGCACTTCCCAGACTTCATCTCGTCGGACGATTGGCCCCCAAACAAACCAGGCCTGAATCCATTGGACTATTCTGTATGGTCAGTTCTTTAGAGGAAAGCCTGCTCTACTGAACATAGAAGTTTGGATGCTCTACGTGCAACCATTGTTGAAGCATGGGAGGTTTTTTACGAAGACTACCTCCGTATCGCCGTAGACCCATTTCCTAGAAGACTTTTAGCGTATTCGCGCAAAAGGAGGCTATCTCGAAATCTAGTTTGTTTTTGTGATCTATATAGCTGTTGATAAGTGCTGTTGGAGTTGTATCATAAATCGATCGATTTGACCGTTTTTACGATCAGTATCATGTTCATCGTTGCCAGAACTTTTGCCGCATCCTGTAGTACTTTCCTTCACCCAGGAGAGATTAATAGTATGTACCATCTGATGAACTCTTGAAATATAACAAGCTTGGGCTTGGCCGAAGCGGTAGTGGTCCGAACTATACATATTGGATAGTGTAGTCGCTTGGCACTACCATATGTCTGTCCTCTCCCTTTTTCTTCTACTTGGTCTCGCCAGCGTGATCCCACGCTGTCCGCTGGGTCCGCTGCTCTTGTATGTTTTCTTCGCTTCCTTCTAGTTATGGCATCTCATGCCTTTTGGCTTCCATCCCATCCCGTCGCGCTCATTTATTCCCTACTCGACCTACTTTTTCCACTTGTTCATACATCTTTGCTTTGAGGTTGATTCTGAATTTCCTAGATCTCTTCAGCTATATTCAATTCTATCACGATTGGAAAGCGCTCACCTGATTTGGGACGAAGGAATGAGAAATCAGGCATTTCGCGTGGCCACACGAAAAGCACGAACACGGCTAACATTCCTGAGCATGTGTCGGTAACGTATCCTCTAGAATTCGAGAATTACTTCCTGTGCTAGAAGCTAGGAAAAGTTACCTAGTCGAACGATTCACGAGCACATTTGAAAGTCTTATGAATTCTTGGAGAGAGAAAACTCCGAAAAACTTTGTCCCCTGCTTGTTCCTCGAAAGTCTGCCTGTCATTTATCGGGTAACCTTTAAGGGCTTAGGTGTTATTAGGTGTTATGGAAGTGTCGGATAAAATGCGGCTATAGAAGTATTAGGGCCTTCGGAAACTTTTGAGAAAATCATGCTTCTCACTGCGAAAGCATGTTGCTCCCGAGCGCGCTAAAGAAGGACTATAGTATTGAGAGCCGGGAAAGGGCGCTAATAATGAATCAATACTATAGTTGATCTTTATTTGACATCGTCGTTAGAAGTAAGTATTCATAGACCGAAAGGTGTGCATCGGCAAGACTACCGGACGGACTCTTCTGCTTCACCATTACGAAACTGATCGCTTCTGCGCTCAAGCATGGAATGAGATATATTAACTGATGGGTAGCATTGGACCCTCTCTTCCTACCTTCCATAAATGGTACGATCGCTTCCTCTGAGAACAGGTTTGATTCGACAAATTTTCTCGAAGCGAACGTCCACTGTTCTCAAACACCGATACTCTGGCCTCCCATCACAGCAATTTTCCTCAAAGTGTCAGGAATTGGGAACCAATCCATCATTAATAACGTTCTTCGCAAAAGTCACTTCTGAAGCAAGATTTGCAAATATCGCCCATTCCTTGGCTGAGCAGGAGTCACTGTGCGTCAGAAACTCCTCGGTTGTAAGCGAACGGCGACATCGACCGACTTCATTATTGCTGATGATAAGTAGATGTCATATAAAAATCCACTCAAGAGATTGCAATGCCTATCAGTGGACGTAAGGCCACAGCTCGCTACAAAGCGAGGCGCTCACTCCAAAAAGGACGTGGACTCATTCTTACTCTGCTCAACCAGATGTTTTACTATGAGTTCCTACCAGAGTGTACTGCAGTTAACGCAAGGGTGTCTCATGAACAACTGAGGGAGATGGTTTTTCGAGCCTCTATTTCACATCGATTACAAGGAATTTCTTGATTGTGATGAAAAATGCTTGACCAACCCACGCGAAGACGTATATGGATGAGCCGGAAAGGCTTCTCCACTCCTAGATATTCAACCGACCTCAGCGTATATGACTGTCATACTTGTTTTGACATGATGTTTTGTTAACTGCTTACAGCTTATCGGTTCGGTGCTGATATTGGCCGGCCGGCTCAACAAGCGTAGCGTA